TCTGAGAAATGCCAGCCCAGTAGCTTCGCACCCATCCCTGCCAGGCAGCCAGGGAACAGTTTGGGCACAGAATGATCAGGAGGGGGACCTTCAGCCCTTTCAGGCTGATGATGGGGATGCAGGTTCTGTTGGTCACACTGAGACCAACACACCAAAACACCTTGAAAGAGCAGAGGGGCAAAGCGTTATCTGGGGTAAATCCCACCACCATTGACACCACCTCACTGTGGTTTGAGATGGAGGTTGGACGAGGGACCTCTAAGGGTCTCTTCCAACAAAACCCACCCTATAATAATGCCTAGAAAATGAGCATTTTCAGGTGTTTGTCCCCAAACAGCCCCTCTAGCCTATCGCCATGTCCAAGCCTCCCATGCCATGGCCCATGGGAGCAGCCTGGCTTCGATAGAACCCCCTGCCCCCTGCAATATGTAGTGACCAATCCTTGCTGTGACATCATGATTAAATCCCAGGCCACCACCCAGGGATTTCACTTCATCTTCAATCTCCTCACCAGCCCCTCAGCCAACCTCAGCTGTCTCTACCTCCTCAAGGTCCCCCTGCTCAGTACAAATACATTAGGCTCCTTTGGCCAACGGCTGAGGATGATGTTGGCTGCTCCTTCATCCTTTACATCCTCTGGCAGGCACCTAGGATGCACCGCTGGCATAAAAAGGGTCCCTGGCAGGGACCACCAATGGTGGTAACTCATTAAGCAGCTTGATCATGTGTCTAAGGCCAAACTCAGCAGAAGGTAACAAAAACTGTCCCATGCCAGGCTAGAGAAGGAGGAACCCACCACCTCATATCAAGGAGTTTCTCCCTGCTTGGGCTTGGTACCCTCCCGAGAATGCTGAGGTGTAAGGGATGGCTGCGGGGTTGCTAGGGCCAAAATCCCAGATCCCAGGGGACAGCATCCAGGTATGGGTATCTCCATCCACCTCCAAGGTAGGATGACAAGGTCCTTCTGCAAATGCTGATTCCTAGGCTGGCTTTTCCCTCCTCAGCTGTGTGCACACAACACACACAATCCCAAAACGACGCAGTCCAGATCTTCACAATGCAAAGCCATCCCTGTCCACAGGCATCACTCCCAGATCTGGCAGCAACTGGAGGAGGAACCCCCTCCCTAGGGAAGGATGCTGCCACTGCAGGGAATCGCTGATTAAGCCTCCATGCCAACTCTGGGGTCTCAACGGCTCCTCGTCACCCTGCTGTGTCAGACCCATGACCGCAATCAGCTGCTTCGGCAAAGCACGGATCTTCCGGCCCCGGGAGCCGCAGGCGAGAGCACTTTGGCACAGAGGGGAGGCTTTCAGCTCCCCAGCCAGCCCTCACTGCTGTCCTCCAGCCCTACGCGGGCAGCTCTTAATTATAAGCAAGCTTTAAGCACCGGGGCAATTAGAAAAGATACGGAGGAGCACGCTCGTCCTCCCACGTGCCTATGGTCTCCTTCCCCAGGAAGGCAGCGGGGAGCAGGAAGCAGCAGTCAGCACTCAGACTTGCTCTGCTGCCCCCAGCAAGACCAGGATTGCCCCTGGGGCTGTTATTTTTGCTCACTTAGGTTGACGTGACACCCCAGGACCAGCGTTCAGGCTCACCTGGGGGTGCTCCAAAGACCAGATTTGGCTCGGCAGCTGCCGTGCAAGCTCAGCGTCGTCCCCCTGCAAAGCTCACGCACACCCAAGCACACAGCTATGGGTTTATGAGCTTCCAGCAGCGAGGGCTGAGCTTCAATGCAATCCCCAAACTGGTCTGATTACAGCAATTTGAGGTTTCATGACAAAAGTTTGCCTGATTTCATAACTGACCTGGCCACTTCCACGAGGAGAAAGCAGCACAACCAGCCAAGCACCTCCTAGACCCACTGAAGCACAAGCCAGCCCCAAGGCAAAAGCAAGTGCACAGGAGCAATTCAGACTACTCAAGACCCACCTTGCACTCCTCCTAATTACAGAGCAGCCCAACCAAGCCCAACAACATTGAAATAAAGGGGAATTAAATCTGATTTTGCGAGGATACAACACCAGATTACGAAGTCTCTGCAGAATGTGTTTTAGTTGCAATAGCCATCTTGTTTTTTCAGCAGCACAAGTGTGTCACAGCATGGGTGGGCTCTGCAAACGGCTTGTGCCGGATGCTTTCGTGAACTGAAGGTGAGCCTGCTCTAGGAGGAAGAGGAGGATTTTTAAGCCATGTCTTTTTTTAACCCTAGCAAAATCAGGCCAGTTTGTAGTTCTCATTCACGCATCTGAAGCGGCATCACTGTCCTTAACTCGACCTGCAAAAATTTGCTCCCTTCTCCACACATACTTGTCCATGCAAGCCTCCAAAACTGGGCTTTGTTGTTCTTCTTTATCTGAGAGAAAACAGAACCAGCAAAAAAAAACACCCTGAAAAAGAAAATCAGTCCTGCACACACTTGCTGCTTCAAAACTCATGGTGACCGATGAATGTGGATCCCCAAAGCCTTCTCTCAGCTCTCCACCTGCAGAAGACATGCCACCAGCAGTCCAGGGCATGGAAAACTCCTCAGAGCAGAGATTTCCCCATTTTCTCCATTTTTCTAAAAAAAAAACCCTGCTCATTTCTCTACATCTTTACATTTCTGACCATCCTTCCTCTCCTGAGTAATCTCCTGGACTTTACCCCCCAAGTGACATCCCAATCTTGCGCAGAGATGGCCACTCATCGGTCCACCTCATTGGACACCCCATTTCCCCAGTGTCTCATCTCTCATTTTACCTCCAGAGAATCTCTGACCTTGATAACAAAGGTTCCTGGCAAAATTTGGCCGTTTCTTCCCAAATCATTTTCCCACTGCTGGAATGAGCTGCAACCTCACCCAGGCAGGACTCAAGTCCCAAACCCCTGCCCAACTGCTGAGCCAGACCCAAAATCTATTTCTCCACTGCGGGGAGAACAGCAGCGCTGCTGGATTTCATGGGCTTCCTAAGCTTTTGGCTACATTTGCTCTAAAACCAGATGATATTTGTACAAGTGGAACAGAAAGGCTGGCTGCCCAGCTCGCCGAGAGGCATGGGATGGAGCAAGCTGGTTGTCGCCTTTTCCGCTAATCCTTTGACCTCATCACACAGAAATTAAAAAGTATATTAGAGTTTCCAAGGTGCATTTGATCTCCTGAGCGTCTTCGCCATAAAGTGATGACGGGAGCCACAACCCCTCCAGCGACAAACCCTATCATGTGGGTGATGGAGACCAAAAGGACCAGAAGGCTGGTACCGCGCTGCCGGAGGAAACCTGCCTGAGCTGCCGGTGCGATAACACCACGCTTGGAACACAAAGGGTTTAATGCAAGAGTGCTCTCCTGCTGGGAAAAGTCAGCAACGCTTTTTTTTTGTTTGCTTTAACAAAAGAGAAAAATATAATCTTTGTTCTTTTTTCCACTCTTCTGTTTCCTTCCCCCCACCCCAGCTTTCCTTTTCACAGTTACTGAAACCCTTTGCCCTGCTGTGCCCACAGCTGGAAAACCTCCAAAACACTGAAAAAAAAAACCCAATTAATAAGGAACATTTACCAAATGGGCTTGATTCAAAACCCAAAGAGTCCAAAAAATGTCACAACACTGTAAATGTCCCAAGGTTGGCTCTCGTTTTCTCCGCGTCTTGCTCCATGCCCTGGCTCGGCACAGGCGCCGTGGCCAGATGCCTGCAGCTCCCAAAAGGTCACCAGAGTGTCCAGGGGACAACCACGGGGACAGCACTGCTCAAACCCGGGCTGCTGCCCTGACTGCACCGTGCATCAGCCCAGAGGTAGGAGATGAAGCAGATGCCGGGGGATTTAACACAACATTGCTGGGGAAAGGCCAAGGAGCAAGGCCTTTGCTGGCACCTGTGAAACCGAGCCTGAGGAACATCGGACAGCTGCAGGGTGGTTTAGCCATGGAAATGATGCATCCCATGGGAAGAGGTTGGGTCCAGGAGACCCTGCCCTGGGCCAGGTCCTGCCTCTCTGAACCAAACTGCTGGAGACTTGCACCCAGCATCATGTTCCTTCCTACCAATCAAAAGCAACTCTGCCTCCCCGATGCTAGGTTTAAAACATAAATGAAACCAAATCAAATGAAAACAAGCTGCAACTTCTGCACCCAAGGAGCAGGGCAGTTTGTTTTCACCACTTGCCACTGAGCCCAGACCCACCTCGCTGCAGAAACCCCAGCCTTCCTTTCGCTATCCCTCCAGGGGTTTGCACTGCGAACCCAAACCCGGCGTCGAGTGTTGTGCTGCGTTCCAAGGGAGCTCGGAGGGGCAGAGGGGTTTCTGCAGGAGCTACATATCTTGCTCTTTTCCCAATGCAAGCGTCCTCAAAAGCAAAATCCTGTAGGTGAGATGGTGAAATGCCCAAGGCAGCCCCAGGACACTCAATGGCACCTTGTCCTCATGTGTACCGAGGCTGCAGTGCCAGAAAGGCACTTGCAGAGGAGGTTTTGGGGCTCCCTCACTGTGTTCCCAGCCAAAGGGAAGCTCTGGAGCATGGGGAGGAACACTGGTATTTCCACCATGCCACATCCTACCTGCCTGCTTGGAGAACTCCAGAGATGCTGAAGAGGCCGAAGTCTGTGATAACCACCTTCCCGTTGTCGTAGAAAACATTTTTTGACTTGAGGTCCTTGTGAAGGATCCCCTTGGCATGCAGGTAGCCCATTCCCTAGAATGGAAAAGAGAGAAAAATACCCCAGAATTGAAAAAGCAGCAGAGACAGACAGGTTACTGACAGAGCAGGGGCAGCCCCACGATTGCCGAGACAGGGAGAGCCCAGCTGTGAGCGACCCTGTGTCACGACAACACGTGCACACCACCAGGCTACAGCTGGGTCACAGCCAAAGGTGGCATGTCCCCAAACGACCCTGCAGAAAGGGCAGGTGTCCAGGGTGTCCCCGGCTTGGGATGGGCATTGGGCGGTGCTCACAGCGATGCCCACTGTGGTCACGGTGTGGGCATCTCGGCTGTCACAGCGCCCACTCATCTTCCTGATTAATTGGTTATGCAAGAAAAACGAACGGCAAACCAAACTGGCGGTCGTTTTCCTGAAATCCTCTGCTGAGAAATTGATGATGATGATGTTTTTGCCTTCACTGTCTTTTGGGGCTGGGAGCAGAAGGGTAATAAGACAAAGCTCTTCATCACCGCTATCGCACACCCTGGCTGAGCCATTAGTGCTTCCGATGCGCACACCGACACCATTAGCCTGGAAACAAGCGCCTCGCAGGAGTCCAGCCTTAATTCTTTTCCCCTAGGATAAACTACTTGGTGGTTAATTAAAATTATTGCTAATGATGCAAAAAAAAAAAAAAGACCATGGGTGGGAAATCCGAACTCCCTGCACCGGGCTTGTTTAGTGTCGGCAAATCAAGCAGACTGCCGACAGCTCGACGTGGTGAATGTTCAGCTCAACAGGATCACCAGCTCTGGGAACGGGGAGCATGATAAAAGCCATTTATCCTGACTTCAGCAGGGCTTTTGATGCTGTCTCACTTTTCATTCTCATAAGCAGACTAGGGGAAACTTGGTCTAGAGGAAGCTGCTGAAGGATAAATGCCAAGTGGGCCAGCAAACTGATGCTTAAGAGCGAATATCAGTTGTCCATCACCGACACGGGAGATTTGTTAACTGGATTTCCACGAGGGTCCATCCTAGGTCTGATATTTCACATATTGTCATTAACCACACAGGCAGTGGAACAAAAATGTATTTTTAAATTTACAGCTGATGTGGAGCTGGGAGGCACGATCCAAATGCAGAAACTATATGGGGAAAATTGGGAAAGCAACCTGAAAAAACCCACAAATCCTCAAATGCAAATGCCCAGGATGTGGGAACAAAGAAGGTACCAAGGACTTGCCAGCAGCACAGACCCACGGGGCTCTGCTCCAGGACAGCAAACACTGCAGCCCAGCAAGTCATGGGGTCAAATCCTGGAGGACCTTTGCTATGGGATGCTGGAGGAAGGGAAGGATTTGGGGCTGTGGCTGGCCTCGAGATCCCACAGCTGCAGCTGGATGACAGGACCATTCCAGCACCAGGATTAATTAGGGGGCTCCACTTCCCAGCACATGAAATAATGATGAGGTTTAAAAATCTGCTTTAAAATGTCACTGTCACCTTCACAAGGTGTCAGGGTTGTGCGAGGAACCGCATTGCAATGCTGTGAGTGTCTTCCTCCTGCAAAGCGCAGGAGCACCGAGCTGCCACCAGACAGGATGAGACCCAGCGCCACGGGGATGCTCTCCAGCAGGGACTTTGAACCCGTGCTCACACAGCATGGATGGGAACACATCTCCCACGCAATCAATAAATGCAGCCAAACCTTTGCTGAAGGTGTTTCTCGAGGAGCTCTCAGCAGACCCAAATCCCTCGCTTTGCTTCGAGGTATCGTGCAGATCCCACTGCAAATTCCAGCCCTGCCGCCTTTGCCCCTGGGATGATCTGTGAGAAAACACTCTTGGCCCAGTAATGCCTTAATTTGCTCGGCTGCCCGGCATGCATGAAAAGCCAGCTCCCTCTGCCGGCTTCGCTTCCGAAATAAATTAACTTTCGCCGCTGGAGAATCACAGCATAACGAGAGCCCTTGCACCCACTAATCCAATAAGCTTAGCAGCTCTCCTATCGCATGCAGGGACTTGAAGGATAAAGTCAGACAACTGCCATGACCAGGTAATGGAGATGGAGCTGTGGTCCTGCATCCAGCTCCTGGGGGAGATGCTGCCCCACGTCCAACCAAACCAAGATTTTGGGGTTTTCCTTCGCTTCTCCACACCAAGTCCACCAAAACCTCCTTAGCACCTGCTGATGGTTGACCTGGAGAGGTGGGAAGGCAGAGAAACTGCTCCTCGTGGCACACACCAGCAACAGGCCACGTGTCCGGGGCACAGCACTGATGGACCTGTCCTGCGAGCATGGAGCTGTCGTCGGAAGATCCCTCCGGTGCGCAGGGCGAGCCTGGGCTCAGCACCCATGCTGCGCAGCTTTGCCTCTGGACCTCTGCTCATTCCTACAGGGAGCCAGGTCAGCCAAAGCCCCTCTGCCCTGCACAGGAGCACCCAACCCCATGCTTCCAAGGAGGAGAGGGGATGCAAGGGAGCCAGCTTGCTGCTGGGGCTACAGCCAGGGCCATGTGCATTCAGGCTGATTTGCTTCAGCAGATCTTATGGGTGACATTCTTCATGGTCATTCTTCCACCTCACAGATCCAGGGATGCTTCCCTGGTGCTGGCAATGCCTCACAACACCACAGTTTGACGTTTCCAACTCGTTTCTACCACACATGCAGCCGCAGAAATCTCAGTCCTCAAAGCCCCAGCCCACACGAAGCGAGGCACAGAGAAAGGGGCTGAACGGAGCCATTACCGCCCGCTGTGAACATCTGGGAGGCAAGAACCCTGAGCACAAGAGTGGTGGTAGTCAGGGGAAAACATGTGAGACAAACCTCTGTGATGCTTGAGATGTTTGCTCAGTGGGAAAAATCCATCTTTAAAAAGTGGAAAAGGGGATCAAAACCAGAAATGAAGCAGAAAGACCCTCAGCTGCCTCAGACATCCCAGCTCTGGTGCCACCACCCAGCTTGGGGCACACTACAGCCCTGCTTAGGGCTGACAGCATCACCCAGTGGGCTCAGGAGTACCCGTGGGGCAGGCAGACCTGCTGGGTGACTCCGGACAGCACACCAAAGATGCAGGGTTGGTCTCTCACGGCTTCCCTCCACCACCCCAACGCGGGGCTCAGCCACATCACCGCTCCAAGACACCTCCTGCAATGGCCGGACAGACACGGGCGGCTCAGCGAATTGGTTAAGCCTATGCCTGACTGCCAGCTCCTGCCCGGTGCCCAGAGACTTTGGAGGAATTTCAGGAATTTACGTTAAAAGCAGCATGCACTATGAATGTATACACCACTGAATCTGGGTGTAAATAAACGCAAAATAGGCAATCTAATAAGAGACAGCATAAGCACAGGCAGAGGAATGGCACCATTCAGGATATATCGCAGCACATATTCTGGTTTATAGCGTGGATTTGAATATTTAAGGAGCTTTAAGATCTGCCAGAAAAACTTTTTTTCCCCTCCATAGAAATACGTTAAACGTGAGCTCAGTCCCAGACAATTCGGTCTTGCTGGGGGCCGGAGGTGCTGGCTGACCTTGAGCAGGCACAAGGTCAGTGTTGCGGCTGCTGGGGTAGGACACGTGCCAAATACTTTTGGTACCGTTTGGTGTTAAATATGTCTGGAATCACAGTGAAAACCTACTCTGGCAGACGGCTCAACACCTCTCAGGAAAACGAGCCGCTGCAGACACTCGATGGGAAGCTTTGATGGTTCAGGACCCAACTTCCCAGCCACTTGACCCCACCACATGAGGATCCTCCCCAGCATCTATTTATACAGTCACGTCTGAAGTGTCGAAGACGCACTTTGAGTCATCTCTGTGAAAGGAAAAGCTTTTTTAGCTCAGAAAAACGTACGTGTGCTCTGCCTCGTGGCACACACAGCCCCCTGCCACGAGCACCGCGGCACTGACTCCTCCAGGCGCCTTGGCTGCGGGGATGCTTTCATTAGACGTGCAAACCTCAGACCAACTGCCGTTGATTTTTTTTTTTTTCCAAGATGAGAGGAATATCCAACTGGCACCTCACAGCAGCAGCAAAGCTGGGCTTAAACACCTGCACTTCCAAGGGGGAAGAGGAGCTGTGGCAAGGATGAGCCCCAAGCTCACCGCTGCATGGGGAGCCCACGGGACGCCTTGGTGACACCCCAGTTCAGCTCGAAGTGGGTGAGGGAGGTCTGAGAGACCTGGATTTTAAAGCCAAGAGGTGTCCAGATTCCTTGGTTTCTTCACTCCCACTCCCCAGAGCAGCTCAGACAGGCTCTTGGCCAGATCAGGACCCCCACGTGTGGCAAGCTGCCCCCGCACCGTATCATACCTTCACAATTTCTTGCGCTATCTGCCTTGTCTTGTTGACATCCAGGACGATTTTGGCATCTCTCACCACCGAGTAGAGAGTCCGTCCTTTACACAGGCTGAAAGAACAGGAAAAGGGAGAAGATAAAACCATGTTTTATAAACCCCCACTGAGAAACATCCCCAAATGATAAAGGCAGCGGCTGTGGCAGGGAGCTATAAATAACCGCAAGAGCTTTGGCTACATCTCAAGGCAGATTGAAGATGCAGCAGAGAAACTGGGGGCTCTCCCCAGTTTGGCACTGGGAAGGAGCTCACGCTGCTCCCCAGTGTCTGCTGGTGCCGTCAGCGTGGTGTCGAGCACCATACGGGGTAACCTGGGCTGGTTCCCCGGCTCGTCCCCACATCCCAGCCACGAGCAAACCACCTGGTCCTCTTGCTTCAGACTTGCTGTGCAAAACTGGCCGTGGCTCCCCGCCTCTTCCCTCAGAGCATACAATACTCACAGATGTAATATGAGTCAAAAGCAGTGTCTGCTGGTGCCGTCAGCGTGGTGTCGAGCACCATACGGGGTAACCTGGGCTGGTTCCCCGGCTCGTCCCCACATCCCAGCCACGAGCAAACCACCTGGTCCTCTTGCTTCAGACTTGCTGTGCAAAACTGGCCGTGGCTCCCCGCCTCTTCCCTCAGAGCATACAATACTCACAGATGTAATATGAGTCAAAAGAGGAAAGACAGGGAGGGAAAAAAAAACCCAAACCCCAATGCACTGTACAATGTCCTCCAATTTTCCTTCTCGTACCAATTACAGTAAAATCTATTTACAGAGCCTTAATTACCAAAGGCAGCTGGAGGGGGAAGGGGGGGGGGGGGATTTTTTTTGATATAAACCAATTAAAAATATATTGACATTTGAATATCATAATGGAGTATGTGGGTGGATGCTGCCTCGACTCCCGCCCACCAAAAAGGGCTTTTTTGCTTTTCTATTTCCACCCACGCTCATTACAGGCAACTTTAGAAAGATGAGACTGGATACCTGTGCCCGGGAAATAAAGCGCCCGACACACATCTCGTTAAAGAGGCTTCGGCAGCCACAGATGTTAATTTGATCCTGTCTAGTTAACAAATAAAAAGTTACAGGTTTTAATTCCTTTGCTCTCCCGCCCCACTGCATCCTCCCTCAGCTCCATTGCTTTCCCCTTTGCCCCTCTCCTCCAGTCCCAGGGATGCCAGCACAGACCGGCCTGGATTTATCCCCTGGGAAATAGCAGGTTTTTACCCTTTTCAGCTGGAAATAATCAGCCTGAACTGTGCCTTGCTACAGGGGCTGAGGAGCATCCAACGAAGCCACCGTGGTTTTGCCCGGGTACCACGGGGAGAGGGGCAGGTTGGGACCCTCGTCACGGCTGAGGAGGAAGGGACACACCGAGGATAGTGATGCTCAGCAGCAGAGAGCACAATTTTCAGGTCAAGAAGGAATGGGACCAATCATATAACTCACGGGTTTTGGAAAGACAACAGCATACTTCGGAGCACTTCATTGCAGATCGTGTTGGAAATAACATTGCTGGATGCAGACAAGCCACAGCAGGGAGTTTGGGGCATTTTCATACTCCTGCAACTGCCTCCTTGGTCATGCCTGTCCTTGCTGAGGTGTCTCAGCACGTCCCTGGGCACACCAGCTGGACTGCAAACCCGAGGCACACACAATTGCAAACACCATCTTCCTCCAGCACCACCAGCCGCTTCCTATCTGCTGCAGTCACCGAGAAATACGAATCCCTCTGAAGATTAGGATCCAAGCACTCAAACTGCTACTTAGAAATAAGTGATAAAGACAGCCCTGGGGTTTCTGCAACTGGAATTAAACAGTGTCAAATAATGACGGACTACTTCTCCAGTATGAAAGTTTTTTGCACTAATTTGCTAAATAACCCTGTAAAACTTCAAGCTCTGTGATGCAACAGGCTTTCTGCCACCTCCCATGACCTGCCTGCTTACCCTCCTCCCTGCCCTCCCCGCTCCCCAGCAAACGCTTGTTTCCCCCCAGAGAAAACCATTCCAGAAAGTTGCTTGTGGTCTGCATTAGTCGTAAATCGACTTTACCAGTGCAATGAATACATTAGTGCTGAGAGGGGGGTTGATTTCATCCCTAAAGTGAGTTAAGATCAGCTGTTTTCCTGGAAAAGGGTTGTTTAGAGAACAATCCTCAAATTTCTGCCTGTCTGAACTGCAGAGAGAACCCTGGGAGCGGAGCCCACAGCCCTTTACTGATGAGATTCCCATCTCCAGAGGGACCGCATTAAAGGAGGCAGTGGAGGCACCCAGCACGAGGAGAGCAGCCACCGCTCAGACCCAGGGTGGTGGTACCAGCACACGGGACATGCCACCACCCCTCCTCGGACCTCGGTAGAGCCATCGAGGCAGCCCAGGTGCCTCTCTCCGCCCCTCGATGAATAACTCCTCCGAATGAATTCAACTAGCGAGCGCCGCACCGGTATTTGTTCAGAGTTTTCTTGCCGGATAAGGAGCTGCCAGTGCGGAGATAAAGCCCGGTTGATATCTATTATGCAGCACCTGAGCCCATTCAGCCACCACCTGCACAACCTTTTCATGGCAGAGCTCAACAATTTTGCTTCTTCTCGATCCTCCTCTGCCATCAATCGTTCCCCATTCGGGCAGGAGCGGCAGGCACAAAGCGCAGCTCCCGGGGCACGCACATCGTCTTCTGCCTTTCCACTTGAAGAGGTCTACGCTGCACCGCGGCATTGAGGTACCCAGCCGGCTGCGAGCGAGCGATGCTGCGGATCACAAGGCCAGAGACCGCCTACGCTTGACACCAGAAACAAAGGCAGACGATTTGCGTCTTCAGACAGATCCCAGCTTATTCACCACTGAAGTACGTATTCATAAACAAATACGTGTCTTCTCCTCCTAAGCCTCTCCATCCCACCCATCAGCAGAGCAAGGAGGTTGGTGACACACGCTCCGGCACCCGAACCCCAGCCAGAGCTGAGAGGGGGCAGGGACAGCCCAGACGGGCAGCTTGGGGAGACACAGGGGTTTGTCCTGGGCTCCCCAGTATCCAGGAATTCACCTCAGCCCACGGCACAACTCCACTCCCAGCTTTCCCCTCACCGGCCCCTTCGAAAGTCCCGGCCCCGCGGCCCCATCCCACTGCAGATGCAACTCTATTCAAAATGAGTTTTTGAAGTGTTCAGCCAAGCAAGCCAAATCCCAAATTGCTTTATAAACACTCTGCATTTCACCAGCGTGGGCTGAAGACATCAGCAACGGGAGCAAAGCCAAAGCGACTTGCAGAGGAACAATTTGGGAGGGATGAGTGAGGAAGAGTTAGAGCACTGCCTCTTGATATTACTGCCATTCGACGGGAAAACAGTCTCACCCATCCCCCACCCATTGGGGTTTTTCCCTCTCCCTCTGAAATATCGATGGCCATCACCTCCACGCTGACATCCGTCACTTCTACAGGGTTGAAGACCCGAGCCTGGCTCCTGCTCAGGAGCAGGAATAAATTCTGAGCCGACGGTGCGGCAGTTGCACGCGGGTCACGATGCCGTTACTTACCGGTGGTTTGTGCTTTTCTTCCTTCTGCCCAACCATCCACATAAATGCCCATTAAATTAAATAGGATCATTTGAACACCCCAAAGTGATAAATGCCAGACCCCAGGAAGCTCATTACTTTCTAGTATATTGATTTATGGGGAACGAGCTCAGATACCATGGTGATAGCCAGCAATATACACCCAGGGGAGACACAGAAGGAGAGAGTGGGAATTAATAATAAGTACTTTCATATAAAAACACCTCTGCTAGCAGGTTACATCTGTGCTTGAGGAAAGACAGGGCAAAGGAGGGGCTGTTAAGATGCTTCCACATTGCCCATCAGTTTACTGTTTTTTCATATTTCATGGAAAATAAGAAATATTTGGGGAATATTAAGAAAAGCATGGCCACAGCAACCAGAGCCGCTGAGCTGGGACTTATTAGTTTTCATTGGAGCAGGACTAGCCGTGGCAGGGAGGGGAGGAATGAGTACTGCACACACCTGCACGTGCCCAAGTTATTCGGGAAGTTTTCAAGCTGTGTCCCTGTATTGGCTTGTTTTTCTCTTTTGCCAATATCTGGCATTTGTGCTTTTGAAACTAGATAGTCACAAATGTCTGTCACAAAATGGAAGGTTAAACAAGGCTGGAAGAGCAGCAAAGTGAGAGGTTTGGGCTTTTTCTTCCTCAGAATCAATAAGAAATATCGCACCCTACACACGCTCTCCCTGCTATGCCGGCGTGAGCGAAGCAGAGCAGTGGCATCATCCAGCTCCAGCTCCCCAAGCCTTCTGCATCTAAACACCACCCCTAGGACAGCGGGGACACACTGCCAGGACAACCAGACAGAGCTGAAATGAGTTTGTTAGGTCTCAGTCTAAGGAGAAGGCTGGCATGTGTCAGACCCCACACCTATATATGGGGATTTTTTTCCCTGATAAAAAGCTGGGAGGGGGATGAAAAGGCTTGGCCAGCTCACAGGCCAACAAAAGCAACATGTGGTTATCTTCCTTCCGGGGCACCAAGAAACACCATCCATCCTCACCAGACCACAGCCAGGGGGGAAAGCAGCAGCTGACAGTGTCACAGCAGCACAATGCCATGAAATGCTGGACCGGGAGCACCAGGAGACCTGATGCCAAGCACCAGCATCCATCAGAGCCTGGTTCCCCTGCAGGCATCCCGGAACTTTTCCCAGCAAACTCCACCTCTGAACTGAATCCTTACACAAGTCTCCCAAAGCAACCCCAACGGGGATGCAGGGAATATAATTGGGAATATCATTACCTGCCGCAAGCAATATTTTCAGCCAGGTCCCCAGCCTGGAGCTCACAGTGACCCGGCTCCCACTTTGCAGGAAGGAGCATCTGCAGAGCAAAATTAGTGTGGGGAAATAAAAAAGCCTCAAAGAGACAACGCTCCCCTCGTCCCGCACTCGCTATCTCTGCCGATGGAAGTGCCGTCCTTTGATGGATATTACTTAGGCAGCAAAATTTTCCTCCCAGCAGCTGGCACAGGAGATAACTACAGCCAGCACAGCCAAACCGC